CCGCATCCCCCGAGGGCCGCGGTCCCACCCGCTGTCCCTCTGCCGACCTGCGGGGAGCTGAAAAGCGTCTCCCCCGGCGCCGCGGGAGCGCTGGCTGCGAAACGCGGGGGCTCCGGGCATGCAGCGCTCACCCCATCGGCTGGGGCAGAGGGGGAGAGCGAGCTGGCTCGGAGGGGTGGCGGTCACCCCCAAACAACGAGTTTGGGGGGCGCAGAGGACGTTGTTTTAAGCTGAGTTTGAAAGTAAGTAACTTAGATGCAACACGGTGCAAAAGTGCTGAGTCTGTAAGATACAGGTTTAGGCTAAGTCAATATTTGCAGGCTGATGTTGAAAGAAAACTTTAAAGGAAACGGGCTGAGTTAATTTAAATATACAAGTGACACTTCATATTTTCATTCTGCTTTTTTAAAGCTTGTCCCTGATAATTTCAGGATTTAACTGAGTTAATTTAGTTTGTGATTCCATAAACTAAGGACTAGATTAAGGACACTCTGTAAATATAACTGTTTAGAACATAAAACTGAGGAGCTGATGGTTTTTATTCCACCTGCTAAGTATCATGCAGATTTGCTGTTGAAGAAAAGTTGCATGCCTTGACGCAAGCTGTGTTTTTAAAAATAAAAGTTTTTTTTCCCCTCCCAATTTGCAGTGGTATGTGTAAGTGAGCTTTCTGTCCAGATGAGAACAGTTGCAGAAAATTTGAGTTATTAATGTAAATTCTAATTGAATGTGCTATTTCTCCTTTCCCCAGTGTCTCAGTTTAAAATGGTGAATTACTCTTACGATGAAGACCTTGAGGAACTGTGTCCAGTCTGCGGAGATAAAGTGTCTGGGTACCATTATGGACTTCTCACTTGTGAAAGCTGCAAGGTTCTGTACTAATTACTTCATACAAACACAAGTACAGGGAAAAAAAGTTTCTAATATAAGCAGAAAACATTATAATGAAAGAAAACAGATGTGTAATAATTTAGCTTATTTCTGATATGTTTGTCGTTATATTCATGTAAAAAATCAACCACTCAAAAGCTTTAGGATTTAGAAGTCTCTTGGAGAGGTCTCATCTGCACAAATGGAAACAACTTGGACTGTTTTGCATTGGAGTTTTATCATTGCATTTCGGTATTTTGCTGTTGTCAAGCAATGTAGTTCTAGAACAACTTTCATTCCTAACTGTCCTAAATATTGATTTTAGTTGATTTATATACATTCAGAGTATTCTGTTCCTGAAGGATAAAGTAGGAGAAGTATCCTCAATGCAGATCAGCTTTGCAAAATCTAATGCAGCTTCCTTAAGATTTTTTCATCCTTCAATATTACAATGTAGATTTCTATGACTATAATGATGATGCGCTTTTTTCACACAAACTACAACTGCCAGAGCTCACTTGACACATGAAGTCAAGTAACTAATGTATGATTTAGTTCAGATCATTCATTAATTTTGAGAATAAAATACTTGTAAATGTAGCTTATGATATTAGAAGATAAACGTATTGGCATGTTCTATTGTACTAAAGGGTTTAAATACTTACGAATCTATGCCATGTCAAATTTGGCGTGTACTTTTTTTTTTTTAAGTTCTTTATGGTTACTTAAGTAATGCACTGTAAAGGAAACTCCAGTGCCAGAACAATGCAATCTAAAATATTTAGTTGCATGGAAAAAATTAACTTAGCACATTATATTTTCATTAAAAAATAATCAATGAGAAATGAACAACAAGCACTTATTATGCCTCTAGCATGCACCACTGGGATGTACAGTAGCCAGAGGTACTCTGGATTCCTGTTATCTTTGCAACAGTGTCCCTGTTTATTTCCTGTGAAACTACTGAAGGAAGACTTCAATAATTTTGTAGTGGTTAAAGAGTACCAAAGGAACTGGTCAGCCTCACTATTTCTGCTGTCACTGTTAGGGGCACAGGAGACTACAGCCAGTCTCACCAAGCTTTGACATAAGTCTATGAAACATAGCACCAACACAAGAAAACTTCCTCTGGAGTCTGGTGGTTTTCTCCTGGGTACATCTCACTGTAATTTAAAATAAACTATGTAATGTCACAAGTGCTTGAGTGGTATCTGAAAAATACGTTACAATGATTTCCATAAGATAAAATGCCGAAACACGCTATTCAAGCAAAACAGGCTAACTTTTGTATCTATCATACAGGGATTCTTTAAGCGAACAGTCCAGAATAACAAAAGGTACACATGTATAGAAAATCAGAATTGCCAGATTGACAAAACACAGAGGAAACGATGCCCTTACTGTCGATTTCAAAAATGTCTAAGTGTTGGAATGAAATTGGAAGGTAAGAGCTATAGTCTTGCTGATATTGTCAACTATACTATAGATTAATTTTGAAAATTGTAAGATTATATATGTTATTGCATGCTATGTTATTTAAAAAATGCTACATACTTATCATGCTTTTGAAATTACAGTAAAAGGTGACTTTGTATGCTCAATGAAATCGTTGCTTTATTAAAAAAATTCTAATGAGTAAATGGTAAATCACTAACTAGTCAAAACCATAATCCATTTTTTCATATATATATATAATTTGTTATTTCAGTATTTTAGAGTTTGTAAATGAACAGATCTAGATAGAATAGTTTTGCAGCTTTTAAAAAAGACTTAATTTAGATTAAACATAAAATACATAAGTGTCCAGATTAGAAAAAAAATTAGTCATTGCTATGGAGAACAATCTGATTTTCTTTATATTTTATCTAGGGTTCAATTTTTTATATATATTCTTCTGACAATAAGGCAGAACACAGAGAAACAGATAAAATAAGGGTTTTTTTCTCACACTGACTTGCCTTTGGGATTAAGGAACCAAATAATCTCTAAAGTTGTGTCCTATATTTTTGTGATGCTTACCTGAGATGCTATTACAAATGAAAGAGAATAAGGCATTTTGAAGTATACTGTTTGACTTCACTTCTCATGTGCAGAGAACAATGAAAAGTGTACCATACCCTTTGAGATAACCGAATGCAAAATTATCATCAACTCGAATTTGAGAATCATACACAGTTCGTTCTAACTTTGATATATAACATATTAAAACTCAGATTTCACAGCAATTGACATTTCTGCTTGACCAAGGACAAGCTCCTAAATTCCTTATTCTTACAATTGTACCGAAATGACATTCACCCTAGACGCTTAACCAGGAAAAATCAGGCCAAGGAGGGAAACTATAAACCATAAGGGAACCATAAAGGATAAGACCCAATCACCTGAGTCTGGCAAAGGAAAGCTGTTCATATAACCGAAGATAAACAGAAAAATCAGCCTCCTGCAGTCTAATGGTTTCAATACTATTCTATTTGCCCACAAGATCGAGCTAGCACTGACACACTGCACTAAACATCCTGAATCACTGCGTGTTCTTCCAAATTCAAACAGCACAATAACAGGACATTTAGAATCCTTTTCTCCTTGTTGACGTTAAGAATAAAATACATTTATCTGCTCCTAGTTTTAACTCCCCTCAATGGCTGACAATGATACAGGACCAAATTTTTTCTTCTGTGATTACATACAGTTCACCTTAAATTTTTACAGGAGTTATACAAAAGCATTTGCTAGTTCAATTTGGCTCACAGTTTTTAATTGTAGAATACCTGGAAGGATACTAGGTATAGAGATTTAAAGATAATTACTTTTACTAGCATTGTGATTTAAATATTTTAATCTTCTGCATTTTGCTCAAAATCAACATTCGAAGGCGGTATTAGCAACAGCATTTTTACTACAAATTTAAGCAAAGTGCCTGTAGTTTTAAAGATACTCTAGAAAACGTACTTTAGCTTCCTTATCCACATATCTGTACAACTTCTTTTCCTTTGTTTAGAAAATTGGAAGAACACGTGCTTCCATAATTGTAAATACTTGTGCCATTCATATGTGTATTTCCCTGATAGCGATATATATAGCCTTAAAGTCTGGTTCATAAATTATTGTGGACCAAAAAAATCATTAAACGTTAAAGTCCTTATGATAATGTACAGTATTATGCGTATCTAGCATTCATAATAAATTTTTAATGTTCTACTAATCCCTAAGATAAAAAGCTCAAGAACTTAACCTCCAGCAATCTCAGCAGTCTCAACATGTCACCAGGCTGTCAAAGGTTCCTCTTTCAATCTAATTGCCGTTGGGCAAGGTGGGCTTGGTGAGAGCTCCTCGCTAGTCCATTACATATATACCATGGTGACAGACACTGCTGTGACAGAGACCACCAGTATGACTCCCAAGGCAGCTGTTGAGGTGGATTTGTTTTAATTATTTCTAATTCCAGAGATATTACAAGCCAGAACAGTGTCAATAGTTTCTGTTTCACTTCCACCTTCTGTGTGGAAGGCAGCAAGCTGACAGCTTTCTCTCTGCACATTCCAACTGCAGCTAAACATGTCTGTAGAGCTGTTCAGCTAACTAGAGATCTCTTAAAGTTTTACACCAACCTGAACAGAATCACCGAAAGGAAATATTTCCTTTTTGCCAAGAAAAACGTATTCCCCTTTGTGCCTACTGAACATTTCGCAATTTACGTTTCAGATGTTTTGCTGCGGTGGAAGGCAGTAATGGAATGATTATAATGAGACAATGTGGTCTGCTGGATACGTCTCAGACAAATTCTGGACATCAGCCCTTGTTTCTTAATGACATAGTAGCTTGACATAAAACCAAATATACATTGAGATCTCCACATGATCCCATAGCAGGTGTGAAATTCCTGTAGCCAACCATTGTGTTTGTCCCTGTGTCCTAATCAATGTAGAGAAGTCCTTCTATGTTAGTAATATATGCATGTGATATTTAAATTACCAGAAAACATGACATTTGTTAAGTCAAAATAAATCTTTTTCTTTAGGAATAAAAGTGTTACTTTGAATTTGGAGAAAAAAAAAAGTTACATTTTTACATTTCTGCTCTGTCCTAATGTATGTTTCATTAAAGAATGTTGATTCCAAGTTTTAATTATGATTTACTTCCTCCTCTCCCCTGACAGCTGTGCGAGCCGACCGAATGCGTGGTGGTCGAAATAAGTTTGGACCAATGTACAAGAGAGACAGGGCATTGAAGCAGCAGAAGAAAGCTCTTATCCGAGCAAATGGACTTAAACTGGAAGCCATGACTCAGGTGATCCAAGCAATGCCAACTGACCTGACAATATCCTCTGCGATCCAGAACATCCATTCTGCCTCCAAAGGCCTACCTCTGAACCACACTGCCTTGCCTCCTACAGACTATGACAGAAGTCCGTTTGTAACCTCTCCAATTAGTATGACAATGCCACCCCACGGCAGTTTGCAAGGTTACCAAACCTATGGCCATTTTCCAAGCCGTGCTATCAAGTCTGAGTACCCTGACCCTTACACTAGTTCACCAGAGTCAATAATGGGCTACTCATACATGGATAGTTATCAAACAAGCTCACCAGCAAGTATTCCACATCTGATATTGGAACTCCTGAAATGTGAGCCAGATGAGCCGCAAGTCCAAGCTAAGATCATGGCATATCTGCAGCAAGAGCAAGCCAACAGAAGCAAACACGAGAAGCTCAACACATTTGGGCTTATGTGTAAAATGGCTGACCAAACCCTCTTCTCCATTGTTGAGTGGGCTAGAAGTAGCATCTTTTTTAGAGAACTTAAGGTAGGTAACAAACTTACATTATATTATCATTCAATCAAGAAAAAATACCATTTGTTACAATGTTGTACTTCAAGCAAGAAATCACAGTTTATCTTGCCTTTCCCCCCACCCCCAGGCATCTCATTTTTAATTTATTTGGCTTGAAGTAGGCAAACTATTATGAGGAGAAACTTGTTGTCTACCACCTGAGCCTGTAATTAGCTGCAGCACAGAGATTCAAGTTTCAGTTCAGGTTTTCTGTACTTTACTATTTATCGCAACGGTTATTAACCTGCATAGGGCCTCACATAAATTTTACTCCTTCCCTGTCAGTGTTGCTCACTGTCTGGCTGGCATTCAGAGTTGTAAACACACCTGTTACACCAGTCTACATTCATTCATGTAATTATTTTATTACCTCATTTAACATATGGGAGAATGCCATTTCTGTCCATCTCTGTACACTCCTTACACTGGGATATTATTTTGTGCATTCTCATGTACGTACTTAACAATGAAGGCTGAATTCTAAGCAGGATGTATACGGAACAGAAAGCAAGGAGGAGCAAGATACCTTAAGAACTCGTTTTGGTTCTCATCATCACTGACACACGAAGGATTCCTTTAATCTAGGCTGGCTACAATGATCTTTAGGCTCCTAATTTTGTTGGAACACCCAAGAAATCCTCATCCACAGCTCTTTGGTGGCCAGAAATTCCCCCATTTACATTTCTCGTACTTTTTGTTAAGGCAATTTTGTGTTCTGTTGTGGTCAGGACAGAAATTTTAAGCCAGAAATATGGGATCAGACAATAAACATAAACTATAGCTTTTAGTCACTCTCTTGATATAGAAATTAGCTCTGGAATGAGTAAAAGAACTTCTGCCTCAAAAAACCTTGAGATGAAGTCTAATCATATGTGAATTTCCCTATGATATTGCTAGTTATCAAATCTCTGCCTGCTACAGAAATGTTTTTGCCACAACTGTTTGCTGCTGAAAACTGTAAAGTTTTCTGATCACCTATAATTTCTTGCTGACTACTGTCAAGCTGAAGGAAAATAATACAATATCCAAATACAACGCTTACTGTAGAAGTTCACTGAGAACTGAATCTACATGACTCAAGAGCACAGAAAGGAGATCCTATTAAAAAGCTGCAGTCAGGATGCTTGCCACAACAGTATTTCTGTCATTACCATAACGATGTGGACACACGAAATAAAGCCTGATTACAAGAAAAGCAAGCTGTATATGTTGCATATACCACTCCAGCTTCTCTCCAATTTTTCATGAGAATCGTTGCAGGAACTGTATAAAGCTATATAAAGAGAAAGAAGGGAGGAAGTTTACTTGGAGGGGAAAAAGAAAATGGATTAAAGAGAGGAAGAGACTGTCACATCTTTGCTTGCTCTGAGTTGTTTCCAATTTTATAGTAAGCTATAAGCCATGCTACCCATTTTAAATAATTTAAAAATTAAAATGGTAAATGTATTACATTTCCAATAGACTATTTCCTAAATATCAGGGACCAGATCTTTCTACCCATACACTGAGGATTACTTTAGTCTGGAGTAACCATGTTAAAAATCACTGAGACTTGAAGAACTAGAAACTCTTCAGTGTGAGAATTTTTAAGTCACGATTTGCCTTAAAATTGCAGTTATGATTAAAGTGAGAATATGAAAAGATGTTCAAGCAACATTTAAGTTTATGGTTCCATGGCTTAATCAATAGACAGATGTTATAAGCATTCCACGTGCTATACTGGTAATAGTTTTAGAGATGGTCTTCACCTCCAACCTCAGCCTGAATGATATTCTTCAACCAACACGTTTACTAGTATGGACACAAAAGATGTAGAAATTAATTTCATGAAAATGCTGTCCCACTTCTCCTGGCTGTGGACACATATATATACACTACCATGTATATACAGACTTCTAGAAATACACGTATTCAGAAATTCACTTGGCTAGTGCACTGACTTTCACACATTTTTAGAAGGCATTGGCTTCGTCTTAGTATTTGTACCCTTTACATCTTAGAATCTGAAGAGTTCAGACAGTTTCATTCCTTCTGGCATATCCAGATTTTTTTTTTTTTCAATTGGACAAGATCGACTAAACTGCACAGCAGTTCCAGAACAATAACCACACACTTGGAAATCCATCCACATCCGATATTTAGGGACCAGATTACAAACAGTGCTAAGAACTTTAATCTTCTCAGCTTCAAAAAAGAGAGGTGCTCAAAACATGTTTAGATCGGACTCTAAACAGTTAACAGCACCAGGTAACACCATCTCTCTTTGCAGCTGAGAGGATCATAATTAAACAAAGTGTTTCCAAACCTTTCCTGAACCAGCTCTCTTCTATCCATCCATGGTTTCAGCTCCTTCTGTTCAAGGTAGAAAAAGCAGCTATTTCAGATTACTCCACAGAACATGAATACCTGTGAGGGAGGGGGAAAAAAAAAACAAACCAACACCTAAGGATATGACAGAGAGATTTTAAATGCAGAAGGGAGGGAAGAGGCAACTGTGACAAAGATGCAACAAGATTTTCAGAACAGCTAAATTTGTTCCCTATCTATACACAGCTGAGAAGTATGCATTTGCCTGAGAAGATATTTTCTTATTATTCCTACTTGTCTAAACTTAAGAACTGAATCTTGAGATGTCTTTCAGATAAGGCAGGTGCATTAGCAGATCTCTGGGACTAAAATTAGATTATTCAAATAACTAAACAGTAAAAAAGTGGTGCATTAGCAGATCTCTGGGACTAAAATTTTAAATTATTCAAATAACTAAACAGTAAAAAATTATAAATGTAGTTCTTACGAAATTCATCATGATTTTTTCAGAAGGGATACCTTGCACAACTGGCTGTGAGTTACTAAATAGCATGTTTGCAGTTCTTTAGTGTAGCCTTTCACTTCATTCTAATTTTAGTCATACACATTTGTCTCTTCAATTCGCATAAAATGGCAAACATTTTCCTTTCTGCTACCCTACAGGTTTGTAGCTAGCAGAGTTCAGGAGGGACTGAAATGGAGGAGGAGATGATAAAAATATGCTGGTTTAGTCCATCAGTGGTTTAGGCCACATTTACCCTAGAGATAGTAACAAAAAACTATCAGTGAACTACAGTTTTTTCTTTTTCTTTCCAATTGGCTGAATTTATTTTTTTTTTATGAGATCAAGTGATAACAGACAAGTTTTAAAACTTTATTTCATGAAGCTTTTGTCAGCTTATGCTCATCACAATCATCTCACTTGTTGCTCTACAAATTGTCAACACCCCTTTTGGAATGTGTATACATGTAAGCATGTAAAAGGCAAAAATATTGATGGGCAGGACTACCTACAGCAGGCACTACATTTTACAGAATTTGGCCTGCATATGAATTTGAATATGTAATTTAAGGCTAATGCTCATACTTGTTAAAGAGCAGACCTTCCCGTCATCATGGTAGATATCAGAAATTTACGGAAATATTAATGAACCAAACTAGTCAGGATTAGTAATAATGTCAGAGAAAGACCCAAAGCAGCCAGTTGTAATCCAGTAACCGAGTTTCACACCTGCTAAAATCTCAAACATACCTATCTGTCTTGTGAAGTCAGAACACTTTGTAATTAGTAATTACATCACAAATTCTGGGGTTTACCATCACATATTACTTGCTTATTCATAACGAGAAATGTTTCTGTATAGTTCTTTATACAAGGATGAAATAAGAATACAGAGATAACCTCCCAGTAGACTCCTGATAATACTAACAGTAATAGTAAAGAAGGCCTTTGTTTGCTATTCTGGAGTTGTTGAAAGCTCAGTAAATATAAAAGTAAGATATATCCATCTTATCCTCAGCTAAGAAAACTCAGGAATGCCCTGGGGATGCTAGATTTGTAGCCAGCTGTCTTAGTCAGGTGAAAGGTCTTTGTACAAAGCTAAAAAGAAAATATTGCAAGAGTTTCTAGAGTCCAAAGGTTACCTGGCCCCAAGAAAGGATGCAGACAGTTCCACTGGACTAGTCTTTCCTCATCAGCTCGCATCAGGGAAAATCCAACAACTACCTCCAAAGCTAAGTATTCCTGAACCCATAAAAGAAAGCAGTCTCTTCTTGGGGCAGGAAGAAAACAGGACCTGCACTGTAGAACAGTCCTCAGGATACTTTCTCCTGGCTGAAGATCATAAAATTAACTGAATGGTCATAGTTACGAAAAAGGCACTAAAGCACTTGTGACTCACAAAAAATATTACCTTGACTTATTTGGCTATTTTAGTGAGGATGTCATAGGTCAAAGTACTATGTGAGCAGAAACCCATTTAGTGAATGATTGCGGGAAGAGCCGGTGTGCTTCATGTTAAAGAAGTTCATCCTCAAACTATTCACTGAGTTTGCAAATTTAAGCCATTCATTGATGTCAGACTCTCTAAGTTCTGGAACAAATTTCTTGCTCTAAGTATAAATTTGTTCAGGCTTACTCTAGCTGCAAATGTGGCCCCCAAAGCAACAATGATTTAACCACATATCTCAAAAGGACCCTGTGCAGAGAACTCCTACTGTACATGGTAACACAGATGTTTTCTCAGCTAATAAGCTAACAGAGGCCTAGTTTTGTATTACATATTTCCCATAAGCACACTATATTAGCAGAGTTTCAATTATTTCTTAAAGCAGTGCAAACTTTGTGTGAATAGGATTAACAGAAGTCTTGGAGTCTCTTAATTTTTTCTGTAAAATGTGTTTAGATACAGTAATATAATACTCAATACATCAGCTTTAATGTCACATTTCTGTCTCTATGTAAATAATTGCCAAGAAATGCATAGAAAATAAGGAATTACAGTACAGAAATCCAATTATTAAACTAAATTAAAACAGATTAGGGAAAAAAATCTGTTGGTTTTTGGTTGGTTGGTTGTTTTGGGGTGGTTTTTTTTGAGAAAAAAAATATCAGCAGTAGAATACTTTAAAAGTTCTTCAGAGTGATGAAAGGTTTATATATTATT